GACCTCCAGAGTGCTGTCGGGTTTAGAACGGCAGCGTTTTGGGAGGTGGGCGACTGCCTGAAAGGCATTTCGGTTTGAGAAGGTCCATGTTTTCCTATTGGAAGATACTGGATGAGAGTTGCTGCTGACTCTGGGTTCTCACTGAGCGGGTGTATCGGTGAAGCTAGGCTTCTCTTTGAAGCCGCAGCGAAGAGAACGCAGTGAGAACGCAGTGAGAACAATTAGCAAGTGAATATATAAACGCATTAATTGGACGAAAAGGAGAAAGAAGTGCGAGCTCAGTTATAATATTATAATATGCAAGGAACGTAGTGACCGCGCGATATTGATATTATAACGTACAGCATTCACGGGGCTTACAACGATCTTTTCACGGCCCCGTAATTTTATATTGGATTTCTAAGGTCGAAACCTTCATGAACGACTCTGGGGGAAAAAGCACCCTAAATTCATGAGCGCCGTACAATTTAAAATATTTTAATAGGGTTTTTCGTGGAGTCACGAGTGAAGGGAGCAATGAAGGGGGCAGTTACAGTTCACAGGTTGGTTTCTAATCAATGAGGGCGTGTTCGCAAGGAATTTCTGTGTTGGCCGCCCGAAACTCATAGAAGAGGTGATCTGGAGAGCATGAGGAAAGGCTTGAATCTAATAGTAAATCAACGGTAAACTGCCTGAATATGTGGATAAGAGCCCAGATCTGAGGTTAACTTCGTGAATGTTATTACTGTGTTGGTTTCGTTCAATAGAGTTCATTCACACGCGTAACTCTATTGCAAACTGGTGCGCGAATAGCATGAATATGCGAATGAACGAAATCATTGACGAAGCGCACCGGCTAGATCATAATAATAATCATAATAATACTACCGTTTTATAATGAGTGAAAGGAAGCACGAAAATAGTATTTGATTATGAGCCCGTCCCCCAGATCTAGGATTCAATATTAAAAGACGAAGGGAACATTATGATAAGGCGTTATAAGTGAGAGCAATGAACGCATGAACACGGCAAAAAATATGAACGAAGTGAGTTCTCTTTTCTTGTTCGCTTCTTTAATCACTCCGCTCTCTTCACACACCATTAATCTAAAGGGCTGTCGCCCACAGCCGGGCACGCCCACCAGCAGCAGGACAACGGCAGCAAGCACAGCAGCAACGACAACAACAACAACAACAACGACAACGACAACGACAACAAGAACAACAACAACAACATTTTGCATTGCACTCACTGCCAGAATCAGCATGTGGACCTCTGATCACTTTGGATCCTCGGCACGTCGGCTACTCTGTATCCGCCTTGGGAGCTCCAGCAGTCTTTGCTAGTTCGTACTTCACGCCCCTCAGGGCTGCTGAAAGGATTGTTGTGCACAGCTATGTTCGAGTATGTGGAATGCATCCGCCCCTCGGGGCTGCGATAGCGCTGTGCTGGCTGGGCACCCTACGACCGCTTCCTACTGGCTCACCTGCACCCGCGACTGCTGCAGTGCCGGCTGGCCCCGATGTTGTGTTGCAGGCTATAGCTGTGCGCTAGCTGAGTTTGGTGTGATTAAGGCGGGCAAGTGTGATATAGAAGGTCTCACCCGCCTTTGTTATTTCACAGTCCGGCCTTTTGGACTTCGAGAGGATCGCTTCCTCCAGATTGCCAGGTCTCACTACCTGCTATACTGAATCTGCTTTGGCAGAGTACTTAAGGATATTCAGGAGGAAACCTCCTGATCTGATGCAATGAATCAATGAAGAAATTGAAGTTGGCACGGAGGCAGCCTCCGATATCAAGTACTCAGCACTGCAAAAGAGTGAAAAATAAGCGCGGCTACCCCGACACCCTACTGTGAGTCACTGCGTCCAGCACCCACGCACCAGCTGTTTAGCGAGCCGTACCTCTGGTGAGGCCGACACTCAGCGTTCCCGTCTAGTGACGTCTCACACAGGTAACGCTAAACAACTGGCAGAGGGCCGTAGGCAGAGCGCACCAAGGCGGCCTTGCACGTTCCAAGTAGGATGCCCAAATTGGATGCAGGGAAGCTGAGTTTGCGAAGCCTGACCTGGGACGCCTTGCGCGGCTCCTGGGGCCAGCGCTGCGACAGGGCAAAATTTCACACCTGGTCGAGAAAATGTGGGGTTAAGGATATTCAGGAGGAAACCTCCTTATCTGATGCAATGAATCAATAGGTTCAAGAAAACGGTAAGATTAAATTAAGATAGAAACAAAAGTGCATTGCAAACTAGAGTAGATCAAGATTGCCAGCTTGCTGACTGAAAATGAGAATTAATGATTGTAGTTTGCCTGAAGCGCAAGCTGCTCACAACTGAAAGTTCCGTCAAGTGTGAGCATGCATGCTGGTGCTAACGAGATGATTAGCTGCAAGCAATGCTATCTGGAGATCACTCCCTGCCTGATTGTTCAGAGCATCGGTTGACGTCAGCCAAATGCAGCCTGCGTCACGAGCGGTGTGCTCTGCATGGGGTAGGTGGGTGGGATCCCCATTGTGCAACACAGACTCAGGCAAGATTTCTTCCTCATAGCCGCTGATGGTCACAAAAAGCCATCTGCTTTTGTTGCAAGGCTAGACAAGTGATATTGCAATCCCTTGCTGGAGAAGCTCCATTGCACTTTAATGTATGAAGAAGGTCTCAAGAAGATGAAAGATGCAAACAACATGGGAGGAAGCCTCCTAATGAAAGAAAGAAAGAGACACTATTATCAACCTTTGTGCTAAATGGAGTTCTGCCATACTAATGCATGGCTTAGTCGAGCTGAGAGTTGCGCCTTCAAAAGTGCCGATTTAGGTGTTGAAAAGTGTACAGGGAATCGGCGAGGTGCAGGAAGGGGAGGAAGCCTCCGGAGGTAGCCTCCACTCATTCTGTGAGTCCTGCCGAAATTGTGGTCCACTGTGCGATCGCTATGTTCATTTCCGCATCCTCTGCAAAGAACTCATCACGCACTTGCCCAACCTCTTGTTGATACTGAGCGTCAAGATGCGGCGGAAGCATGCTTGAGGTATACCGGATAATGTGCGTCTCACGATAGAAGCTCTCTAGTTCGGTGAGGATCACGCTGTAGTACCACGTTCCTTGGGTGGTGGGAAGCTCGGTGAACCTCATCAGGCTTAAGTATCGTAGGCTGATGCTCCGCAACTTTTGGCGCCGGGCCGCCTTGATTTCACGCCATTCATCATATCCGGTCAATGACTGTACTGCCCAAAGCAGTGTCTTCAACCTCTCTGCTTGGAGCACTCATGTGCGTAGTTCATGAACTGGGCGAGGATTTTCACCTTGTGAGTGTAGAGATACTCCGCAACCCTTGTGCTGGTAGTCTCGGAGGAGATGTTCTGGTCCTCAGCAACTACCTGCTGGTGCACGAGAGCAACCAGGAGCGGAGTGAGCGCTTGCACCAAGCTAGTGCTCTCCATTGGAAACACAGGTGTTGATGGCTGGATTCGAGGTTAGAATGGCTACTGCCAACGGAAGTGTGAAGCGGTTTCTTATGTCAGGCAGGCATTGACCATTGCTAACAAGCATGCAAGGGCTCTAGCTGAAAGCTGCACAGCTCAAGAACAAGGAACTGCAGAAGGAAGTGCCTGCCACTGCTTGTGGACTTCGCGACGCTAAGCTCACCTGGGCAATGTGCAGGTGGAGGGTGGGGAAACTCCTCTTAGAGCATGCAAAGAGAGACAACTCGTTCAGGCTGTATCAAAGTCTTTGTTGCCTTAAGCAGAGGGCGTACTTGCTGTCTACTTTAAAATGAAGTGGAGGAATCCTCCGGAGGAAGCCTCCCGCTGCGAAAGTAGACCACGGCAGAACGAATTCGGTACAGGTGAAACTGCTGAGGACGCTTTAGAAGGGCAGAGACTTGCCTGTGTGCCGATCTATGACAGTGCTGATGTGGGACAGGTCAATGGGTCCACGCGTCAGCAGTACTCCATTCTTCGCCCGACGCACTTTGTGTCCACTGTCGATCAAAGACGGCAGGTGGATCCAGATCTCCACTGAGGAGTCCTCCCTGAATCCTGCAGTTTTGGTTGGTGACAAAGACATATGTATGTCACGTCTTTGCATTCTGCGCAGCTGAGAGGAGCGAATCTGCTGCCAGGCCCGCCAGCTCGTCCCGTGGACACCCCACTCCGGTGTTGTTGAGGAGGTCAGAACCTCATGCAGTTGATCGTCGTCCAGTGGGATGTCACGACCATGACCCTGTAAGGCTCTGATGTAGATTTCACCGTCTTCCTCTGAGATCATCTGCTCCATGCGGACCTTCTGTGAGGTTTCCAGTACTCGCTGTACTTCATGAACTGTCACTTCAGCCCGCCAGAATTGCCTGGAATTAAGAAGGCTTTTCAGATTGGCATAGCCAGCAGTGTCTAGCGAAATGCCATACTTCACTGGGTCATGTCTGAGAGCCTGTGTGAGGAGCTTGCCTATCATCACTCGTCTGGTTTCGTGAGCGCCCCGTCCAGAGAGCCGATCAAGATTACCATCCAGATCTGCTAAACTTGGTGAGTGCTGAGTTGCTGGCTGCCAGGCATGCTCTCTTCTGCCTCCCTCTTGATGCTGTGGGACTTCTTGATGAAATGGATCCTGTGGATCTGTGCCTGCGGAATCAGCAGCTGGTGACCAAATCCCCCAGGATTCATCACTATCATCTTCGGGCTGATGCAAGGAGGTCGGCAGAGCGCTTTGGTCAGAGGCCATTGCCTTGTTTCCTCTCCCAGGAAGAGCTGCGGCCTGCCAGGTGGAGTTATCATCATCTTGAAAGGCAGCTGACTCCTTGGCAGGTTGGGAGGAGGATCTTGGTGGATTTCTGTATGAACTCGGCTCCTCCGGTCTTTCCCTCGCTATGCGTTGAATTGGGGCAGCTTCCGCAAGGGGGTTCCAGCCAGTCTGCACATAGGTCCCCAAAGGCAGTGAGTCTGTGATGTGAAGCAACAGCGCCTCGAGCTGGACGTAGTCTTCCCTGAGAATGTACTGATCCGTTGCTTTGGAGCCACGGAGAGATCC